ATAAATAGAATGATATGTTTCAATTCATAAAATAATTACCGATTTTAAAGGTTCTATAATTATTACAGATTCTATAATTAAATGTAATTGTGTTTGAATTTTATTTGGGAAAGATGATGTCAGCAATTTGATCTAAGGGTGGACAACATAGGATTAAAACACAATCAATGGCCCTGATTGCTTCATTGGTGAATTAAGAGTTCTCTTTTAATAATATTTAGAGATGTGTAAAAGGGTATTGCAGGAAAACATGCAGAATAAAGAAGGGGGTAATATGTTTAGTTTGATATGTACCCGAGTTAACACGCGGATGCTTGGGTTGGAGATGACCCAGATATTTAAGACCAGGGGTTGCTGTTCGGGTCATTCATTCAGTCATTCTTCACCTTCACAACATACACTTTCTCTCTCATTTTGTAGAACACTTGTAATTAGGGTTTTCTGTATTTCTAAGATTATCTATTATCTGTTCTTGATCTTGTTCTAGATTAGGATTGAGTGATTCATTGTTGAGAGTAATGTATGCTTATGTAGTGAGGTTTGCATTGTAAGTTCTTCAAAACCACCTGTCTGTTAATCCTTAAATGATATAATAGATGGTGATGTTGGGTAACTGAGTTCTTACTAGTTTTTACATCTTATGTCAACTTGTGCTTGATCCAAAATATATCCACTTCTAGTCGTAACGATAATCATACTTCCCCTACCTAACCATGAGGATTGTCCAATTAAGGAATTCATATGACTTAACTCATCAATGCCATCAAGAACAATAAGAACTCTGGTAAATCGTAGTTTGACTTTTATTAGATTATTTCCTTCGTCAATATCACAATTCACATAACTCTTTCCTTGTAGCTCATAAAAGAGTTCATCTTGTAAACGAACAAGACCATTAGGTTGTTTTAATTTATCTCCAACACGTGCAAGAAAACAACTACCTTCATATTGATGGGTGATCTTATTATAAAATTCTTTAACGAGAGTTGTTTTTCCAACACCACTAATACCATACACCCCAAGTACACAACTATTGTCTACCCGTCCTTTGAGTAACAATTTTAGCTCTTCAACACGAGAATCCAATCCAACCGGATGCTTGGCTACAAACAACTTTCGTTTTATCTTATGTAGCACATTCATTATGATTCTTTGAACAAATTCTGATTCACACCTATTAAATACATCATCAATTATTAAAAAAATCATGTTTTGTGACTAAAAATTAAACAAGTAAAATAAAGGGGAACGTTCTAAACGCATATCAAATGGAAATGGTAGAATAATTTTTTTTAAATGATTACGGGTCAAGGGACAAGGGCGATGATCGTACTGAAATGAAAATATAAGGACTACATTTAGATAATTTTAAAAGTTGGATTGGACTTGAGATATTTTGGTAAAACACAGGTACCAAACTTATAATTTACTCGTTAAGAAAATGTATACCTGCTTGCGTCGTGATTAAACTCCCAACCATCTAAACTTGCCGCCTCCGTCATCGCACGTCGACACTCTTCCACCTTAATCCGATCAAATCGCTCTTCATGTCTTACAAAAGCCGATTCAAAGCTTCCAGTTTGCCGGCGAACATCATAAAACACCGGAAAACCCAACTGATCGACGGTTCTTTTAGAATCCAAAATCTCCAGCAATTCATCAAGACACCATTTGGACGATGCATAATCCTTCGAGAAAACCACGATCGATGTCCTTGATTCCTTGATTGCTTTTATATTCCGATGGAATATCATTACCTCTAGGCAGCTCATCGTCGTCTTTAAATGTGTGGATTCCGGTTTTAATCAGAGCCTTGTAGAGATCGCCACTGAAGGTTTTGCGGGTATCTTCGCCTCTGAAGCTCAAAAAGACGTCGTAATGCCAACGTGGAGGCATAGGTGAAGTATTTCGTAGCTTCATGGAATAGAGTTTTGGGGTTCTCCTTGCGGAATCCATTGATGATCTTAATTTACAGTGTTTATATGAGATATAATATGCAATTTGGTTTTTAAAAGACAAAAAGCCTTGTAAATGACAATTGGGTGACCATCAGCCTTCGTTGCCTGAACTTTATTGTATGTTAATTTATTGAGGGTGAAAAGGGTCTTAGTAAAAGTTGGCAAAGGGATGTCTGGAAGAAAACCTTAATACTCATCACCGAATCTTCTACTTAGGCTGCACGGTGGGGGCCACGGCTGAAGCCGTTTTGTTGACGTGGACGGCTGGAAACGTCGTTGTAACGCGGCTACCCCCCCCCCCCAAAGCCGTTAAGGCCCGTTATAGGGTCTTCCGTGGTCACGGTAACAAGTGCCAATGGGATAAATTCGAACATTTGGATGAATTGGACCGATTAAAAACGGTAACTTTCAATTTAAAAATAAATAAATAAATTCTTTTACCTATAAATACACATATAACACCTAATTTTAATCATCACTCTATTTTCTTTCTTTTTATTTCATATAAAATTTCAATAATTCAAAACAAAAAAATGGATCTGTTTGATCCATTCCACCTGTTCAACGATGATAACGACGACGACGATATCTTCATCGGTATGATGTATCGGTATTCTACGGACGTGCTACTACAATCAAATCCAGCTCCACTACTCACACGACGTGTAATTTCAACCGGAAACATCAGAATATTTATATAGAATGGTTGATATTCAAGACAGACGAAAACACAGACAGCTTCGTTAAGACTTAGCAGATTATATGTATGATGGTTACGAAGATGAAGAATAATGAAATTTAGGGGAAAAAATATATTGTTTTGGTGTTTTAAAATGTTTTTTTAGTTTTCAAATGTTTTTGTCCTTTGTTGTAATTTTTTAAAATGTTATGTTTAATTTAGGATTTATTAGAATAGCATGTTTTATTAATTTATATATTTGTTTTTTATAATTATTTAAAAAACAAAAAAAATGAAATGATGACAAGAAAAATAAAGGGTGTTATAACATGTTGACTGTTTCCTCTAATTGGTGTTATAGCACCATTGTGACATTTTAACACTTAGTTATTTCAGGTAAATTTCCTTCTTATTTTAAAAAAGCCTTTGAATTTGTGAAGTTTGTTCATATGCAGGGCGTAGGGTATTCTCCTACGCAGCATGTAGGAGGGAATAAATTATCGGGGGTTTAAATGATCTACGCAGGGCGTAGATCAAGCTACACAACGTGTAGCGGCCCAGGACCAAAACCCTAATCTTAGGGGTTTGAGCCCTATTTAAAGGCTCTAACTCCCTTGAGGCCCTTCCATCATCAACCTCCATCCTTGTAAACGAACCCTTTGAAACCCTTATTCCCATTGGTGTGTTTTTGACCCTTGAGAGTGTCTGGTGTTCACTTTTGAAGGAAGAAAAAGGTGGTGGAATTGCTTGGAAGCTCAAATCAGTCTTGGATCAAAAAGTTTCATTTCCTCAACTATCTCCAGGAGGTATAAAGTTCTCACCTTGATGTGTTCTTGTGCTAGATCTAGTTTTGCTTTAGGTTTTCATTCTTCTGTCCCCATATTCATGGTGTATATGAGTATTAGCTACTCCGGACCATTGGAGTGTCATTTTCTAGACGTTTTTAAGTTTAATAAGTCATAAAAATGAGAGCTTGGTCACTCACATTCAACCATGCATGAGTTATGGAGCATTGGGTGACTTTTTGAACTTAGGTTATGATTTTGTGCCCTCGGTATGCATGCAAATGGATAAAGTCAGAGACTTTATCCATTAAGACGTCCATCTAGTTCATATCTGGAGTTTGGTGATTAAACTTTCTGTATTAAGAACTTAATGATTAAGTTAGGATTTCAGGGAGTACGTGGGGAGTAAATTTCCTACCGCGGGGCGTAGCTCCATTTTTCCCCGTTTTTGCCACCTTAGGATCTACACATGGCGTAATATGGGTAGATGTTCACTTTTGACTTTTTAACCGTTGTCTTTGACCAAGTTTGACTTATGGCCAAATGGAGTAAATTGAGTTGTAGATTGAGGCTTGGTCCATGTTTGTTGTATAGGTGACCTTTAGAGTCGATATTTGGAGCAGTGTTCGTTTCAGCTATCTTCTAGACTATAAGGTCAGTTTTCCTCACTGTACTCATGGTCCGAAGGCACTAATGTCGGCCCACTAGGTTGTATTATGTATCATTGTGTATAGAATGTTGCTATGTTGTAGTGATCTATTAGATTGGTATATATGTATGATTACATGTACTTGTTGGTTATTGTTATATGTTGCATATGTCGACATAGTGTGGTTGAGTTGAGGCTTAACTACTCTTTGTTAGAGGTGGCAAAAATTGACACGACCCGAAATCGACACGAAATAAATGGGTTTGGGTTAGAGATTTCGACAAGTTTAATTAAATGGGTTGACACGACACGACACGAATATTAAATGGGTAAGGTGAGGGTTAAGATTTTCAATTCGAAAACGACACGAAAATAACCCGTTTATATATAATTATATATATATTATAAAAAATTTATATTTTATAAATATATATATATATATATATATATATATATATATATATATATATATATAATTATAGATTGTATTGGGCTAAAGAAACATATTGGGCTGTAATTGTGTTCAAAGGGTATTGGGCTAATAAAGAGATTATTTGACCTAATTAGCTGATGACCTAATTTATTTCCTTCCAGCCGCACACCAGTGACCACTAAACACACTCCACACTCCACGAAACCACGAAAATGCTCTCGATTCTCGTCTTTGTTTGCCTCTTACGTCGTTCGTTCAATCGTTCCTTGTGAGTCACAGCATCTACCGGTTTACTTCCTCCCACATATCAGTCGTTACTTGTTTACCTTATTCTTGGGTTTTATTCTTATGTGTTCTGTTTTTTTTTGTTGCAGTTAAGTTAACCATGGATGAACCAATCAACTTGTCTGGTGATGAAATTGATGTCTCTGATGACGAAATAGGAGATGAGATGGAAGAGGAGGTTGGTAGTGCACCACCAATTTCTAATTAGAATATGCATAAACCGAATTTTTCTGGTAACCCTGTCAAACGAAAATGTAAGCTTACTTCTCGTGTTTGGAAAGCCTTTGAAATACTTAAAGAGTCAGATAGTAAGGGAAATATGTTGTGCAAATGCAAGAAATGTGGGACTACGTATATAGCTGAAAGTAGTCACGGGACAGGGAATCTACTTAGGCACAAAAGGGCTTGTGATTTGAAACACAAAAGTTATAAAGATGTTGGACAGCTTCTTATACAATCTAATTTGAAAGGGTCTTTGGGTACTAGATCTGCTACTTTTAAAGCTGATGAATTTCGTGAGTTGGTTGCTGTTGCTATTGCTAGACATAATCTTCCTTTTCAATTTGTAGAATATGAAGGTATTAGGAAATTTTTTGCTTACTTATATCCAGAAGTTAAAACATTTTGCAGAAATAACATAAAAAAAGAAATATTCAACATGTGTTCAATTGAGAAATCAAAGCTTTGTGATTTGTTGCAACTTGTTTCTGGTCACTTTGTTGATCATAATTGGTGCTTGCAAAAATGAATTTTAGCTTTTACTTCTATGCCCCCTCCCCATAATGGTGCTTCCTTAGCTGAAAGAGTTTGTGGCTTGTTAAAACAATGGGGAATTGATAAGAAAATAGTTTCCATAACCTTAGATAATGCCTCTGCAAATGATTCTATGGCTAATGCACTGAAGTTTGATTTGAATTTGATGTCTGATGGTGATTATTTTCATGTTCGTTGTTGTGCTCACATCCTTAATTTGATTGTACAAGATGGCTTAAAAGAATTAGATGGAGCTATCGTTAAGGTGAGAGATATTGTTAAGTATTGCAAAGGTTCTCAATCTCGGAAAAAATCATTTTTGCGTTCTGTTCAATATGCTGGCCTTGAGTCCACAAGAGGGCTAAGGCAAGATGTTCCAACTTGTTGGAATTCTACGTATCACATGTTAGATAGTGCATTATATAAAAAAAAAGCAATTCTTCATTTGGCAAAGACTGATGCAAACTATGTTCATTGCCCAAGCTTCGAAGAGTGGAGTAGGATTGAAAAATTTTGCAACTTTTTGCAAGTTTTCCATGATGTGACTTTAGCTTTTTCAGGTTCTAAGTATCCAACTTCCAATATTTATTTTCCTAATGTTTTAAAGATAAGATTGCTTTTGCAAGAAGAGAAGGAAAATGTTGATACTTTTATAAAGAACATGGCTAAAAATATGCATTTGAAGTTTGACAAGTATTGGTGTGAGTTTAGCACTATTATGGGCATTGCCATTGTTTTTTTATCCCCGTTACAAGTTTCATTTTATTGAATGGGCTTTCAAAAAGATATATGGTTCATCTTTTGTTGTTGAGTTGGATTTGTTTAAGAAAAAATTATTTTCCTTGTTTGATGAGTATGCGGCTGTTAGTGCTACAACCAAGACAAATGAAAGCTCATCTCATTCTGGTGTTGCCAATGATAAGTCAGACACATATATGACGGTAATAATTTGCTCCTATCTTATTTTGTTATTTTTTTTGTATTTGCCTAACTTCTACATTTTTGTTAGGATTTTGATGATTTCTTTAGTTGTGAATTTACTACTGGTGGTAAATCTGAGCTGCAATCTTACCTAGAGGAGCCAAAATTACCTCGTACGGGTGATTTGAATGTGTTGGAGTATTGCAAACATCTTCAAGGACGGTATCCCATTGTTTCTCAAATGGCTAGAGATATTTTGGCCATCCCAATATCTACTGTTGTTTCCAAATATGTTTTCAGTATTGGAGGAAGAGTTCTTGATGCCTATCGTAGTTCATTGAAGGCAAATGCTGCTGAAGCATTGGTTTGTCTTAGAGATTTGGTTTTTAGTGAAGGTAAAATCTGCATTTATAAAATTTTGTATATACAAAAAAACTGCATTTAAACAGATATTAAGAGTAAAATCTGCATTTTTTAAAGAGATAAAATTTTGCATTTACAAAAAAACTGCATTTAAAATTATGCATTTATAAAAACTGCATTTACAAAAAAAAAAAACTGCATTTAATATGAAAGTAATGCTAATATCATTTTTTGTATTTGTAGGTTCAATGCATCCAGATTTGAGGCGTTATGCAAACAGACTTTAACAATGAAGATTGGCGATGTGAATGAAGATGAAAGTGATGTACCAAGTACTCCTAGTATTCAAACTCAACATTCTGGTTTAGGTTAAAGATTTGAAGTTGAATTCTCGTATTACTTGTATTTTTTTTAATGTTGTGGATGTTTGATGTTTTGGAAACTTGGTATTATTTTAGGTTGTAAACTTCACTTAATACTTTGAATGTGTAATGCTTTAACTTGTGCACTTTAAGTTTTGATCTACTGATTTGGTTGTTTATTTTCCTGATGTAAAATTTAGGAAATTTTATTCTTTAAATGGGTAAAACGGGTTAAACGGGTAAAATAGGTTAAACGGGTTACATGGGTTAAACGGGTTACATGGGTTAAACAGGTCGTGTTGGGTTAGAGTGTTTTATACGTGTCGAGTTCAGGTCAACAATTTTTGACCCGTTTAATAAACAGGTCGTGTACGTGTCACGTATTTCCAGCCTGTTTAAGTTTCGACACGACACAACCCGTTTTCCACCTTTACTCTTTGTTGTAAGCCAACAAACCCACGGCAATCCAGTCCGATGACTGTAGGCCGGAGCAATCCAGTCCGATAATTATGGGTCAGAGTTAATCCAGTCCGATGACGGTGGACCCGAGGGTAATCCACTCTGATGACTGTAGACTTAGTATGCATGTTTCTATATGTTTTGTTATGTGGGGTATTTTGGGGAAACTCACTAATCTTTGGCTTACAGTTTGGTTTTGTGGTTTCAGGTATATCAGATGATCGGGGCAAGGCGAATGCATAATTATACACATCATCGTTGGGATTTATGATTGATAGATGTTATTGGATACTCTGATTTTATGACTATGTTTGGAAACAATGTTTTATATGACTTGTGGTTTATGAAAATAGTTTTTGAAAAATAAAAAATTTTATCATGATTTTTGGGATGTTACAGACATGGCATGTGAGGTGACACATTTTTAGTGCCTTAACATGTTATTACATGTTGTCCACAACCACTAGCCATATAATGATGTGGTTTCAGGGTTTTTATATGATAATAAGCTTCGGAAAAAGCTAATTGGTTTAATGAAGTTTTATATGAAGAAAGAATAAAGATGATAGTTTGAATGAGAACAATGAAGAAATCAAAGTTTTTTCTAATCTATTTATCTTTAAAAAATTATTAAGGTTAAATGCAAGAAATTACAATGACTTTCATTGATTTGTTTATTATAGCATCATACTTTTATTTTTTTCCTATTCCAATGTTGTATTTTTAAAAATCTGCAAATTACATCAATTTGCATTTAACACGAGTTTATATATATATATATATATATATATATATATATATATATATATATATAGAAGTAAGTTCAACTAAAAACAGTAAATAGTGTGAAAACGCAAAAATATTATGTTTATGTTATTATTCTACAATGAATGTTGTATATGTGTATTGTTGAAGTAATTCTAATATGAATATTAACGTTTGATTGTTCATATATTCGTTAGAATGTTATACTTCTATTATAAATTTATGTATGTGCATTTTTATAGTAATTTTAATTTTAGTTTTAACCTATGAGTATTCATTTATTCATTATTGAATAATGACATAAAGTTGTGCATACAAAATTCATTATAGAATATATATATATATATATATATATATATATATATATATATATATATATATATATATATATATACACACTACTTTATAACCCATGAGAACCACGGTTACAAAACTAATTAAACTTTCATTGTAAAAATTCATAATTATTAATCAATTATTTTAAATAAATAATTTGAAATAAATTATTAATCTTTATATATATTAAAAGAGAAACCTGACGACATCACGTTCAATAATTAGGGTCATTCATTGTGTTATTTTGATTAATTTCAACATTTGGATCATTTTGATGATGTCATCCTAAAATTAAATTAAATTAAATTAATATTGTCTAAATCTGAAAGTTTAACTAAGTGATTTAATGTTAATATCATTTATAAAAGGAATGTATTCAACTCATTTAAACCTTATCATAATTTTTGAAAGTAAATTTCGTTTCTTCCTAATAAAAATCACGTTCTTAGCTGGCTCCTTTTGTATATTCTTTCAATTCACATTTATTATATGAAACGTATCTACAAGATTACGAGATATTATCGCTCAATTTTAAAGAATCAAAGAATTTGAATATGATATCTTTTCCATAATCATTGTTGAAAGTTATGTATAAATCATGTGCTCTTCTTCGTACGTTATATTTTCTTCAGACCCTTTGCAGCATCATGGTCGAACAACATCACCCTTTGCAGCATCACATTCGTCATCTAGGTTCCATCTTTAATATGATGTTCTTAATTTTTATTAACTGTATTCGATTTTTTTATTCTTATTAGTGTTGTATTTGACTGTGATCTTTGAATGCATGAATAATCTTGATTGTAAACGTTAGTATTAGTTTTTCAATCTTATACTTTTGTCTTTTTAACCTTACATTTGATGTTGCACTCTACATGTTTGATAAAATGCCCATGAGAAAAGCATAGTGACTTTTCTCCATCCAAAAATATGTCAAGCATTGATTTCTTACCCGTTCCTTTATCAAATTTAAATTTGTATTTTCCTTATATCTATAAATTTTTTTATTTTGATTACTTACACGTTTCCTTTATCAAATTTAAATTTTCTAAAATCGGATTCAATCGCAATCTACCAATTTAATCGTCATTAAGTTCATCCATAATTTCACCCAATTTATTGTATTTTCCATATATAAATTTTTTTAATGATCCTGATTTTTTCCATCCAAAAGTATTTAATGCATTTATTTTTAAGTAATGTTGCCCCATTATAATTATTACTTTTCTTATATAAAATAATAAAACTTGTCAATATGCCTATATATAAGATAATCAATCTTGAAAATAGCATTGTTATGAAAATTATAAAGTAACATAAAAAATTATAAGATATTAGGAAATTTTTAAGAAATACAATTAGTAAAAGCGTTACGGTTATTAAAAAAAATAAGACCGTTAACAGTTGTAAAAATGCAATATATAAACTAAATTATCATAGTAGTAATGAAATGTCATTATTTGATATTTCATATAATTGATAAATATATACCAAATTACATCGATGATATACCAAAATTATTCAAAGTTGCGCCAAGTCTAATACAAAGTTCTTACGCGTTACGTGTTTCTTTTATCAAATTTAAAAAAAATTGATTCAATCGTAATCTACAAATTTAATCGTCGTTAATTTTATCCATAATTTCACCCAGTTCAATCGTAATCTAAAATTTTAATCGTCATTAATTTTATCCATAATTTCAACCGATTTTAATTTGTATTTTCCATATATAAAGTTTTTAGATAATGTTGTACCCATAAATAATTCGTCAAATTACACTAATGTAATAATCTATGATTTTGAAGGTATTCATATGTGACGAGGAATGTCGTTTAACTAATAAAACAAAAAATGTTGTCTACAAAGAGTTTCTTCAATGATTATAGATATTTATCGATTTCAATTTATCTTCTACACATTTCAATAATACCAATAACCATAAAAAAATTTTAAGAATTATTATGCAATGTCTGTAGACATTTGCATGTTTTTTATGTGTTCCCCGCCTTTAACGCGTGTTATAATCTAGTTAAGTGATATACCAAAATTTTAAAGTTAGTTATAACCTCAAATTTAACATTTAATTACAAAAAACAGATGTTTCTATAAAAAGTTTAAAATCTATTATTTAAAACTTTAACGTCATTAATTGTGATAGTTATTTACCTAATATATATCTCTGACACGTGACATAATATTAATGACGAGTTGTATTAGACTGATACATAGCAAAATGAGATTAAAGTTATTCTTTTATTAGTATTTATATATATATATATATATATATATATATATATATATATATATAATTTTAGTCATATCTTGAATTTTAAGATGTATAAGTTACAAAACGTTTTGTACAAATCAGTTATACATAAATATCATTAATACCTGTCAAAAGTTTGAAGATATGAATTAAGGAAGTTTATGAAGAAAATTAATTTGGAACATAATGATAACTTTAAAATATTAAATTCATGTATATAAATTAATTTAAATTTTTTAAACTAGACACCGATATTAATTAGTTTACATTAAATATATAAACATGCAATATAAATATAAGGCCTAAGTATAAATATCTTATTTAAAAGTGGTTATTTTTTTACATAATAACTAATGATAAAATCTAATTATTATTTCCCCGCAAGAAATTATTCGCCAAATGAGCTATTTAGCGTCGTCGTTTTGCGTTGTCAAACATTTATTGTGTGTGTGTCTATATATATATATATATATATATATATATATATATATATATATATATATATATATATATATCAAGGTCGTAAAAGTCGGTAGCGGTGATCTAGCGGTCAACTGGGGTTAACGGACTCATCGGTCTAGGCGGGAATTAATCGGTGCCTAGGTAGAGACCCTTAATTGAAATAGAATTTATTTATTTTTAAATTAAATATTACATATATCCTAACAAAATAAGTAAAAAACCATAAAAATTTGGCATATTCAATCGTCTAAATATTTAAATCATTGTATATAATAATTTTTAAACTAAATGGGGATCATTTTAAGAGTCTTAGTCAAAAATCGTCATAATTTAGTCGCTCAACATCATAAATTTGACAAATCGGGGATTTATTTTGAAATTTTTTATTGTCTCACTTTTTATCGGTTTAGACCGTCTAGACCGCCTGGGGCCGCCCATGACCTCTTAGGGCCGCCTAGGATCGCCTACAGCCACCTAGGACTGACTACGCCTAACTCGGCCGAATAGCATTAATCGTAGACAGTAAGAGTCCGCCTAGGCCGATTTTTACAAAACCGGTATATATATATATATATATATATATATATATATATATATATATATATATATATATATATATATATTATATATATATATATATGAAGATCTAAAACTTTCAGAATTTTGAATTTATAAAAAATATATATATATATATATTGAATTATTGAAATGTAATGTTTAATT